GATGTCATTGCCGACGAGCATAAAGCTTTTCTTCGAACTTACTGCAATGAGCATGTGTTGTTGGAGAGCATTGATGGTTGTAACCAAAAGACATCCATTGACAATGCTTGGAACTTACTCATTGCTCGGTATCCAAACTTGATCCAGTTTTGTGTTTGCATTGCAACTATATCTCCCGTCACCAGTATAGTAGAATCTGACTTATCTGTTCTGAGGTGGGAGAAAGTTGATCACTACAAGAGTATTCTAGACTTTAGACTTGAAGGTGTGCCGCATGCGAAACAATATATGCAAATCCAGGCACTTGGGGTTTGTGATAATTGAAGAGGTATCTCGCTGCTTGATTTCCGGTAATACAAATCTTATTGCGAGAATAAAATTTCCAATTTTTGTTTATTGACCTTCGATCTAGACTAAATGTGCCTACCAACTAAATTAATTCTGAAACGGCGTCTATATTAAACTAATTTAGTTAATTTAGTCGATCGCCTATTATAAGCAAGCCTGCTCATATACAATGTACTTTTTACTCTCTTGTGATGAAATTAACACAAGATTACAACACTGGGCAATATAGAGATTGTGAGCAAGATAGAACTAACTCAATCCTAAAAAGTCTTTGAATTGGTACTCTAGCATAAAAATTATGTGTAAAAGTAAAGTTCAAAGCTTATGAAAGTGACATTCAGAATGAAAGTTAAAACTAACATTCAAGAAGACAATTTTGTTGCTTAGCCTTGTTTGACATGTAATGAAAATAAGTAGGAAGATCAGTTAGCATTTTTAGTTGAATCGAATTTAAAAAATGTGGATTTTCAAAGAGACGGTTATAATGTTAAAGTATTATGGTAAAATGACTGGCTTTCTTCTCGTTTGGCACTACTTTCAGTTCAATGGTGTTTACAAGTTCAATATGCACGAGGATATTTAATCTCTGAACTTGACTTTTGGAATATGTAAGTGGCTACAAAGAGATTTGCAATCAGGTTGAAAATTGCATATTTTTGAAAGCTTCACATATTATTTTCAGTTTGATCCGTCTTCAAGCACTATATCTAAAACAAGACCACGAGGTAAATGAAACATGGAACAATTGCAGCTTAATGTAATATATGGACAATACATATACCACTAACAGGTAAAGAGAATTGTAAGGCCGAGAAATTTCTCCTGAATTGCTTGGATGATTCTTGGGTGTTCTTTCTCAAGTTCAATCTTGTACAGTAGATTACATATCTTTTACAAAACATTCACCGGCAAGTCTAGATGATCAATTCCAGAAAAAAACTCCTTTCTCTCCTGGCTTATCCCCCTCTTTCTCTTCCTCTCCTTCACTTCCATCTCTTTTCACAGCAATTTTAAGTGAGCAATTTAGGTGTTGTAATCTGTTTGCAATATCAATTGACCGAAAGCAGATTCTGTGTTCTGTGTAAGTATATTGAAGAGGAAACCACAACTTATCTTGATGTTGTCATTTTAGTTAGGTAATTCAAGCGATTGCCTAGTATTAGCATGCCTGTGTATCAAACAATAATATATGAACGCACACAAAGAAATGAAGTTTTATCAAGCACACAAAGATCAATAAATTCAGATGGCATGGAGCCATGTATCTACTCTCGCATGTTGATAAAAAAAATATAATACTAACCAACTCACGGGAGAAAAATTCTAGATTTTCAAAAATTAAAGTACATTTATACATCTTTGATCCCACTGGGTATGATTTTTCAACTAGTTCCAAATAGATACCATACATTGAACTGAAGACTCAAATCATATGTACAATTTTAGAAGAATCAATCAAAACCTTATTAATACTACATTTGGTCATCTTTTTCCATACGATTTGACAAACGATTTGACAATTCTTTACAAATTGTTCCAAACAGACACCAATTTAACTCAAATTGAATATCTATGATTATCTATTCACCATCCATGTTTGGCAAAATATAACGATGAAGAGGTCACAATAAATAATCCCGGACTCCTTATCTACTATACTGTCTCATACATCCCTGCTGCTGAACGTCTGATTAAATGTTGATAAGTTAACAAGTCGTTAACCTCATCGAGGGAAGAGGGATCGAGTAATTTAGCCCCATCTACATGACGTGGTCGCCATAGGGTCTTGTAAGTTTGCTTCTGGACCCAGGAAAATTCGCTAAGACCTTACTCTACAGTAATTCTCATATCTGCTCACAAAACCAACCTAATATATATATCCTCATACCCTGATGACGACCTCAGCTCCAACTACGTCCGGGCCGGGCGTGCCTGGGATCTACTGAAACTACTGTACAGAAACTTTCCACGTACTCCCGAAACTAATACAAATGAGGATTGCATTCGCCCTTTGATAATGTAAATGGTAAGCGTCTGCTGAAGTGGCTATCCTTGTCTTCGACTACGATTACATTACATGTTCAATATAATAAAATAATGGAAAATAAAGGAAAAAAAAGGAAGAGAGAACAAGAGAAGAGCAGCCATCGTGGCCAGAAGGACCTGGTTCTTGTCTGCCTTTCGAGCTGAAGGTCTTTTCCTTTCACTTTCCTTGACCTGTCTGTGTATCTGTGGACCACAAGGAGCAAAGTTTGGATGCAGTACGATGAACTCATGGAGTGACTTCTATCGCCATGCTGTCAGTGCACGAAAGTGTGAGACCGGGAGTCAGAAGATGTACGACAGTGAATGAGAATCGTTTATTGGTTTTGACATCCAATTAATTAATAAATCGATTAGTTGGGCTCATCGAGGAAAGTTCATAGCTGCACTGCCCGAGGGCATGAGGAAGGAATGAAGTACACATGTGACTCACACATTCTCAGATTCAGTACGAGGGTGCATTTTTACTCTCAGCCTCCATTTTTGCTATGCCTCACCTCGCGGTCTTTTGTGTGATACTCAATCATACAATCATTGTAAGTGCCTCCAAGTGAGTAAGCCTTCATTAATAGGGCTGCGAAACCAGGTGCGAATTTGGAGGTTTAAGAGCGGGATTCTGGATAATGTCTACGTAATATCTCTAATTGCAAAAAACATAGAGCTAGGATAATTTTATACTTATATCAGACGGATTTTGTTCTTGTTACATTGTAAACATTGGATATCTTTTCCTAAACCTGGGAGATCGTGAAATCTACGAGAGTGGGTTTGTTGGCCGAATTCTGTAATCTTGTGCTTAACGAATCTGATCTTGCAGTGTACACATACGAAGATGTACATTTCAGTCGTACCCCGCTGAAGGAAACGCTTGGGGCTCTGGACTGTGTCCATATAGATCAGTGTAGAGACCCTAGTGGAAGAGTACGGTACCGATAGTGCTGATTACAGTGTTATCTTAAGTCGACAAGTTCTCCACAATAGACAAGAAATTAGTTCAGCTGTAGCCGACAGCACGTTACATTTCCAACAGGAGACCATGCATCAGTACGTAGTACTTCCAACACGAAAGAAACTCTCAGTCACATATTGATGTCATACATTTCACACGAAATCAAGCGAGTGGAAAAGTTGTTGAATGCAGTCATGGTCGGTGACTTCCTGTTGTCTCGAAACATGCCATGTGCATTCTGGTATGGTAGGGAAGGTAAAGAGAGGGGAAGGAAGAGAGAATGGTAGCAGGTTTTGGTAGTTAGTTTTAGATTCCTACGAGCACGAGACTGAGGGGCGATACGACATGGTGCGCTTGATACCCTTCGGAAGTTCAGGGAGCTCGAGACGTCGTTGACATACAGCGCTATTACAGCCCATGCAATGAATAGTAGAGTCCAGTAGACTCGAGATTGCATCGGCAGCACCTGTGTACTACAGTGGCATGAAGCCCAGCTTCCCGAGCTCGAACACGTCACTTTGAGATGCACAACATAGTGGGAAAAGGTAGTTAGCAGGATAACGAGTAGGCAGATTACTCGTTTCGGAGCTCGAGAAACCAGATGTTCTCGTTCTGAAGTACGGAGGAAATCTAATAGATGCTGAACAGATCTCTCCAGTTTCAACAGAGTACCTTCCCTAGGAGAGAAATTCGCTCCTCGAGTACCTGTTAGGCACCCGTACCGGAATATGAAAACGAGAGAAAGAGTTACTCGAGTTCGATGCTGAGCGAATCGAATTTCTTTCTACAGTGAATGAGGCTCGACAAGTTTGTTCCTACGATTTACCGTCGTTAGGTGGTGGGGGTTGCGACACCACTCCACAAGTTCAAGAGGTTGTAATCTCCTGTTACGTGACCCTTTCGCATTCGATTCTGTATGCGCGTTACCGTAAGTTTTGTTAACAGCGATTAACATTATAACTTCCGCATAGCTGCTGAAGCCTTTCACCCGAGATATATAATAACATCATTATGCAAATTATTAAGTGCTGGAGAAACTGGAGGAAAGAGGGTCCGGAATTATATAGAATGGGAGAAAGTTATATGCACAATCTACCAAAAGAAATTTCTCCAAGGTCCTCGTGTCACGGGTGTGATTACAGAATTCAAGCATCTGATGGTGCGAAAGTTGACATGCCGGGAATGTTTGGCACAGAAGGTTTGGGGAGCGTCGAGATACACTCTCAATGACGTGGAGAACGTGGCATTGATGTTGATTGCTCGACTCATCATGCCACTCGCTCGTTCTGTCCCACGTCAGCATACCGTCACTGTACAACAACTCTTTTGGGCTTACACACTTCACCTTCTGGAACTCGAGTATACGTTCTTGATCATTCTACTTTTTCCGGACTTCTCCCTTAAGAATTGGCGATAAAACATGAGAGAAGACGGATAACTTACGCCCCGCTTCACGATTATCAGTGATTGTTTCTAAGCGCAGTTCTTATTCACGACGCAGAATACTACACATCGTGGAACAGCTTCCAAACTTCCGGACCGAGAAAAACAAGGAAACAATTCCCCAAAACAGAAGGAGCACGACAATATAGAAAGGGCATCGCCAGGTGAATGGGCCATGGCTTTCGAGGACACATACATCAAAGGATACCCATTCATTGCGCGATGGTCATCGTTGAAGAGAACCAAAGCCCCTTAACGAGTACATTGGTATAAGATTCTAAGATTTTACAAGTTGCCATAAGACGGCACTCAGCTGAGATTCAGCCCCGTACTCCTTGACCTTCCTCTTCTCTTCTCTTCTCTCCTCCCCTCACTTCACCACCTGGTGCATACATCCTTCTATTAAAGTTTGAATTGGACGAGCGAGCGGGCTTCCAGCGTGAACCACTAACCTCGATAACTTCTTTCAAAACTACATGAATGTATTAATCATCTGAACCGAGAAGGAAAAAGTTTCATTGATTCTACATCTTTCAGAATAGACTCCGCCTGAGTAACACCCGCATGTTGCAATCACTGAAGAGCCTCGGGGTGAGAATGATCTGATCTGAGCTCACAGCCAGGACGTCCGTGAACACTTGCAACGGAATACTTCCAAGGTCGGTAGATGTAGATACTGTAAGTTGAGATCAGGCAAGAACCGAGCTTGCACATCGTGATTGAGCCTCAAGTGGAGGCCTCACTCACTGTTCATGTAGCCCAGTCTGCTAGAGTAGTTATGTACGTGAATGTTGTATTATGTTGATGGCGAACTCCGATCGATAGCGTTGGCGTGGGGCATGGACTGCATGCTCAGATATGGGCAGAAGTATACAGCCCCCGCAGGTCAAGGCAGCAGTTCATGTGTGCAGACTGCTACAAGAGTGACATCCGGTGATGATGTAGCCAACGTAGAAGAAGCAAAATGCCCAGACGCTGGTTAAGACTTCGGAGCAGATGAAAGCTGCTGCTGCCGCCGCTGCGTCTCTCACGCTTGCCTCAGTAGTGAAAGACTGATCGACCCATCGACCCATCAACCCATCGACCCCTGATCGGCTCAAGGGGAGAGGCGGCTGATCGGCATGAAGCGGGCAATCAATCACAGACAGGTCTGATTGATGGACGGACATTATGGGTCTGAAGACGCGCCGAGGATTGAATCGCTGTTGTACATGGACCCGCCGCCGATGCGTGGAACCGGCAGTCGACTGCTCTGAGATGCTCTGCTTTCTCTGTCTCTCCAAAGCGATGGTGGGCCAAGAGCCCAGTCGCCGGCCAAGCTCCTCCCGTCACTGCCTCGGAGTCCGAACCACGGCTCTCACCTCCAAGTGTGGCGGATCGTATTAATACAGCGTAACAAGGCGGAGCTTGGTTCACGAAACAAGAAAACAAATGGAAATGGAAAACTGAAGAAACTCCGACACAATCACCAAGATGATGACAATCAGATTACCACCGTAATGCCGGCTTTGTACAATAAGTTGCTTTACCTCTCGCTCTCTCTCTCTCTCTCGGTCTCTCAAACTCTCTTCCCTCCCCGAGCCATAATAGATGTTTTCTCTGCAATACATCCTCCTCCGCTTTCTCGAAAGAACTGAACTGCTGCACTCGCTCGACGATCGACACCCTCGTCGTGCCGGTCGAAGATCTGCCGGTGACAGAAATGCATGGCACTAGGTGGTAAGACCTCGTCCTCTTTCGACTGCAAACTTCACAGGCCAGCCCGCTCGCTGCAAATCTACTACTGCGTGTGTTCTCGAAACGGCCATGTTTCGCAATCCGAGCATCAACTACTTACAGTCCGACTTCGCCTGAGACTGCTTGCAGTGAGCAATTGCTCCTTGGATCGCGCTGTGGAGCTCAGCCATTGCACTGGGGCTGCTAGTGGGGAGAGCCCCGCTGTGATTCGGAGAGGCCGCTTTGGCGACAGAGCCTGCAGTCATCGACGCCTTCGAGCTTCTGGAGAAGGAAGGGACCCGGAGGTTCCCCGACAGAGACTGCATGACCGGAGACCTTTTCTCGGAGAACGAAGGCTTCGGAGACGACATGCTTTTGGCGAATGCGGCTTTGGGGGACGGCAGCCCGGCCGAGTATGAAGACGAGTGCTTGGGAGAAGACGTGAGATTTCCGGAGAACGTCGTGGCCCGAATGTCGACCATTCTGTACGTGTTCAAATCCGATGTGTCGGCGGTCCTCTGCGGCCCTTTCACGTTCAATGGCTTCAGGATGTTGAGGTACTTGTGCAGGCTTTCTCGGGCCTTGGATCCCGATACAGAGCGCTCGGATGAGTCGAACTTGTCTTTGACGAATCCGTGGTCGGATGGTGGGAAGAGGAGCAAACTTCCGCTGTGCGGAAGCTCGCCCGTGGTCGAGGCGGAAGCGCCGCAGCCTGAACCAGCACGGGCCGAGGATGAAGATGTCGTCGACGACGCCGACGACGATGAGAACTCCTTCCTGCCCGACAGTCTCTGGTCTGCACCGAACAACAACGAGCTCGTGGCCCTGGCCGAGCGAGGAAAATTGACGGTCACAGAGCCCGGGACGAATTCATCCGGAGCCGGAGCACTCCGCGGGAGCTTCTTCTTGATGTTGTGGTGGTCACTGCTGCAGCGCCTGCTAGGCTCGTCGATCACCGTCTTCACATTGTCCTCGCTCTTGGACGACTTGGAGTTCCTCTTGAGCCCGAAAAGCACTTTCCACTTGAACGGCGTCCTGAGCCACGAAGAGAAGAGCGACTTCTCGGACCGCAAGTTGTGATTGGCAAAAAATTCACGCTGCTGGAAGAAACCTCTGTCCTTGCTGCAGTGGCTACCGAACGCAATGTGGTCCTTGAAGCTCCCTGCCGCTTGATTTTGCTTGTCGGGTACGCACGCATCTTGCGAGCTGCCCGACGAGTCTCGAGAAGAGCTGCTATCTCCAGAGTCTACGTCTCCCGGGGAGTCCGACTCCCAAAAGTTGTTGCTCCCTTGCGAGTGGAAACTGGAACTGCGAGAATTGACCAGCGCAGAGCCCAAGTAGCTTTCGTCTAATCCCAGCGCGCTATATTTCAGACTACTAGGTTGGAAAAAGCACGAGACTGTCACGGCAGAGGGGTCTGCCTTGCAGGCTGAAGATGACGACGGAGATGTCTGTTTGGGGGAGGACAGCTTTTGCACCATCTGCAATCGCTTCGGTAGGTGGAGAGGAAGAAGCTGACCTTTGTAAAACAGGTCGTCGGCCGGAGATATCTCTTTCTCGACGGGCTCGGCAGGATCGACCGACATGCTGAACTCGAATTCCTGAGAATCGGTGGATTTCGAGAGCTTGTGTCCTTTGCCAGTCATGGTCTCCCAGTGGAAAGGGAGTGCTATGTCCATGTCGAAGTACATTTCGCGCTCGGGCAGAAAATCTGCGGACCTCCTGCCGTGGGCTGTCGTCACTCTGGTGGGAACGCTCCCGAACGTCGCGAGCTCCTTGCGATGGTCGAACCTCCCGGTGCCTTCCGCCTCGTCGTCGTGCCAATCGATGTCTCCGGTGAGCTGCATCTTGCAGCCTCGCACAGTGTGTATGAGTCTGCTTGTCTGGTCGAGGGAGATGGACCTGTCGACGGGTGCTTTTGCCTTCCTTTACCTCATGTCACTCCACATTCCTACCCTTCGATTTTTCACGTCCTTCAGCTCCGCTACAAGTGAAGCTTGTCGGCGATCCTCCTGCGGCAGTATATTTCAAATCTCTCCTCTTTCGATAGACCTGGCGATCCTGCCATGAAGACTATCTGCTGTGATCAAGCTATCCATAATAAACTCACTACGCGTTCAGACTTTGCGCCCGCTGAGAATGTGTGACCCGCCTTATCAGACTTCTGGTCGACTGAACAGACATTTGTCTGCCTCTTCTCCACCTTCCAGATAGTAATGCGGTAATGTTGATGACACTGAAACGCTGGACTAGGCCTCGCTCGTTCTCTCGCTCTGTGTGGACTCAGTGAGATCAGCCAAATCGTTCACCGTGCGTTGGACGACTAGAAATTCAGGATTCGGGAAGACATGGGCGCGCAGGGTTTGATACTCCGATCGAGAAAAGACGAGGCCGAAAGGAAAGCGAGAATAGAAACAAGAATGTGGAGACTACTAGCTGAAGGGATGATGCAGCTGCAGATGCATCTCACGCTGCCTACACAACCTGCGCCTAACACAGCAGCACCTACCAGGTCTCGTGTGAGACTCCTCTCTCAGCTCGACAAGCAGAGGTGGAGAAAGACAAGAATTGCCAGAGAAGCGTGGTCAGGTCCCAGATCATCTAGTGACAGACATCGAAGTGAACGGACTGGAATGGAAAGGGACGGACGGGGAGGAGAGGAGGGTTATTAGTGCAGAACAAATGAGAAGAACCCGAGTTTGTGCGAATAAGCAAAGTGTGAGAAGCCAAGGAGTTGTAGCGCCACGCCAATGCCGCCAGCCAGTGTGCCTAAAGCAAATACTGACACGAAAACAGCAGTGACAATTTTGGAGTCGGATCACTACTGCTTCGTCTGTCGGGAAGCAAAGAAGTCAGGGCCCGCCAGTAGTAGCGTCAGCGGAGTCGACCCAGACCCTTCTTTCTTCCCCTTCCTTCTCTCCCTCACCACCCATGTATCATCTCTCTCTCTCCCTCTCTCTCGCCCTCTCTCTCTGGGATTTCCGACTGTCTCTACATCCCTTGGCCATGACATACACAGTAGAGGCGGCTGGCATGATGGCGCTCGCCTCGCTTCTTCTATAGCTTCACACTTTAGCACTCACCCTCTGACGGGCCTCACTCTGACTTGCTTCTGCAGGACCATCAATGACAAGGCGTCAGGCGCCGGGTCCATCGGTACAGGGAAAAGATAAAAGATGCAAAATTATCACGCCTCTCCCTGCCCACAACGATCGCCATTCACTGCAGCTCGACGCTTATAAAACTTCCCCGGGAAATGAGAAAGATAAATTCCGAGCAGGGGGAGCCCAGCATACATCAAAGCGGTAGCAGCCAAACGATTTCCCACCTCTCCTGAGTCTGAACTTGATACTCTGCTCTACTTGCAGTCTCACTCTTCCTCTTCCTCTGCTCCTGCTGCAGTAAACTGGTACGGTTCATCTCCATACGTTCATGGTCCTATACGCTAACCTTATACTGTCGCTAGCAATAAATCCACTCACCCATTTGCACTGCTTCTGTCAGCCAACCCATCCATACATCCACTCTATTTACCTGCATGCTTCAAAAGCCTTCTACCAACATACACTCCTCCCAGCTCACCTTCTAAGGCCCTTGCCCAATTTATTTATGTATGAAAAAAGGGGGTAACTGAAATTTTGGTATGTATGACTGACCGTACATAATAGGTCGACTTTCCAAGGAAGACGTATGAAACTACGAAGACTAGCTGGCAGCTATAGTCCAAGGAGAGAACTACGAGTCCACAGATAGGGAGGGAGAGAAGAAAAGTATGGAAAGGAGACGAAGGTCGGTGGGTCATTCATTCCATCCGCCGCAGCAGGACTGGGGTTGGGAGCTATGGTGGTCGGGATGGGACATGAATGAAGTTTCATGCGAGACACGAAGGGACGGAACCCCGGAGAATATGGGTTCCGTCCCTTCGTATCATCGGCCCCGACAAAGGCTTCCCTAAGTAGACGGCAGATGTTCCGGGGCAGACTGGGTGCAGATGTGTCGATCTACTTTTTGTACCGGATCCTTACAAACGACGTGCAATCGGAGAGCAGCAGTGAATTTACCACCCTCCCCCCATCTTCCTCTCCTCTCGTTCAGGAGCCTCAGTAGGCGAAAGAGGAAGAGGACGGAGGAGGACGTGGGAGGTGCCGAATAACATGACAAGGTGAAGGTCCAGCCGGACTTCGATCTGAGAAGGGAGGGATGGTCAGAAGGGAGTAGTTTAATCACGCGATTGACAAGGCCCGGTGAAGCCAGAGCACGAAGGGCGGTAGTTTTGGAAAGGATGGTGTGTTGGTGGTCGGTATACTTGAGGCAACAAGGTCCTTGTTCAACCTATGAGGTTGAAGGTAATGAGGAGGTCCATTGCGGCACTAATAGGAAGGTCCGAACGTGGTAGTTTGGAAGCAAGGAAGGGAAGCATGGTAAGTGAACGAGTGTGGGTCTGTGATGGAAGTGGGTAGTGAGAGTGCGAGTGACGGGGAGAGGTTATCATCATCTTCCCTTGACTGTACAGTAGTCTCCCGGTTAAGTACGCACCCGTTTAGATACGCATCCCGGTTAATTACGCATTTCTTTTGCACAAAAATAGGGTTTAACCTATGACATGTCGTTCATTTGGTTTATGATCAAAAATTGTTACTCCTCCTAGTGGTTGTCTCATATCTGATTAGAAGCATGAACCTCTAGTGGCTGATATATACTAGTTTAACATTTGAGACAAACTCTCATAGTAGAGAAAAAAACAAGCCACTATCGCAAAATGAAGAAAAGATTATATCATTTTTTTGAGGTTTTAGATTATATTGGGCTATAACAGTTAACGTTGCTAGAGTGCATGATAAAATTTCAAATCACTCTCCTAGAAGCAACAGCTTTTACAACTCACTTGGCAATTGAATAGAACTTAGCAATTACAAATATGTGCTGGAATCCATATATGAAATCAATAAACTCAATGCCATATTTTTCTATTTGGCGTTGTCAATAGATGTTAGAAGAGTGAGATTACAAAGTCTTCTCTTTTACTTCATCATACATTAACTCAATTTAGCTTTGTGACTTGTTCCTTTTGTCTCATCTTCATGATCAAGTCACTTGCAAGTTCTAGCTCTTCCAATGGAATCATGACTTTGCTCAGTTTCTCTATGATATCAAATAGCCCCGAGTCATTTAGGAGTGTTCATATAGGGTTACTTTGACATTACACTCAAATCAAAACATTAGAAAGTCAATTTTCTTAAGTACGCACCTCTCGGGTTCAAAGTGCGTACTTATCCGGGAGATTACTGTACTCTACTTATCCCATGGCACGCTTGAAGTGCGATGGATGCATGAGCACTGGCGTCTATACGAAGCGATACGAACCTGCTACGAAGCAATCGGAGAAAAGTTGAAATAATGGGCAGGTGGATGCAGAACGATCAGCAAGTACTTTACAAGTTTGGAAGTGGTGGTGCAGGTGATGGTATCATGTACTGTACACTCAAATGAATTCCTTCCAAAAGCGCGACATAAAGCTGGAAATGATGGGAGGTGAATAGAGCAAACCCAGAAGTAGGGTTGGGATCATTTTGATCGATGCACATCGTCATGAAATGGCTTCAAAGACATTACGAAGGTTGGAAATAATGACGTCGACTAGAGCCACAGGGCTGGTATACACTAAGCTACGCGGTGGAGATACGAGAAGAAGGTTATACAGTAGCAGGCTCCGGGGGAGAAGGAGTGCTGTGGTCTAATAATGTGCGTGAAAGGGCAGCAATGGGGTTAATGTCTCCAACATGGGGCAGCTGCGAGAAAATGCTACCGTACACAATTTCCTGTGCTCTGAATACTGTAAGGGGAACCCATGGCTGCAACTTAACGTCATCTTTCGCTCTCTCTCTCCAACCACCAGGTCGATGGCCTCGGCCCGAGCTTGGGTGCACCCAGAGTCAAAAGGGCCGTTGTGATGTCTTTTCAACTTCTCTCCAGATAATATGGAACTTTTATTTATACAGTGTCTTCCATATCTGAACAGATAACGTTCTCAAAATCGTTGTAAGCTGTCTACGCCTTTCTTGCGTTCACTCGTTGTCCCGCTCTTTTGCTATATTTACTTGGTTCCTATCCTCTTCTTGGGTATCATCAGGTTAGCAGTTTTGTTTACATAAAAGGGATTCAAACAACTAAATCTGGTCCTTGCAAAGGAAAACGAGCTCAAATCTTTGTCAAATTCTTAACATCCGGACTCTAATGATAGTCATAGACATTACGAAACAATACACTTGATTCCTTTTCTGTTCTTGGGTACCAGCAGGTCAGCACTTTTGATTACGTACAAGAGATTCAAAACACTAAACCTGGTCCGTGCCGAGGAAACTGCTTATGTGTTAGCCTATACTTAACATCCACACTCTAATGATAGTCAAAGACATTACGACACGACATTCTTATAAATATATCCATCTCAATATGGATCTATGGATTTAACGAGTGTGAAGAAAATCGAATATAGCAACTAGGATCAGTTGAAACTGCAGTTCAAATTTTTTACTATTTGAGCTATACTTGCTATATTTTATTTCAATTACGACTCAATTATAGCCCTTTCGTCCGACAGGAGATTTCTGAGGTTTACCACTGATTCGTACAGTTGAAGGAAATACTTGTCACATCGTAGTACCATCGAAGATCCTTAAAAAACATTCCGACGCTTTTGTATGGTGGCTCAGTATTTTATTTGGATACGTCTTTCACGTTTGAAGATTGAATCTCAAGCAGGGGTTTCGTTGCTCCACACTCCCAAATCTGCAGACAAGATGTCACAGTCAAAACAGTTCCTCATATAAGAGTCTTTGCGCAAGTTTCAATATGGTCAACGGTCCACAATTTGATCATATCATAATCTTAATCCACCCAATCATGAATCTAAACTATCATTTTTCTATATTTACTGGGGTTAATCACGATACACAGTCAGTTCAAAAAAACTCTTTTTCAAGAATTTCCTACACAGTAACAAAACTTGGGCTTATTAGAAGTAGTATTTCTCATCACAACCATATTGAATGCCTCTGAAAGCCATAATCCCATTATTTACTCTGGCTAAAGTTGTTGTTTCCGGCTCCACTCCCGGCGGATCGATTACTAGAAACTACATCAAGTGGGATGAGGTGCGAGTTGAAAAGTATTTTAAGTAACATGTCATAATGCTACGGAGAATTCAGTTATTGATGTATAATACACCAAATGATGTTGGTTCATTGCTAACCATGAATTATTTAGTGTATACCACATATATGTGAGAATTTGGCATTTCTAATGTGTTGTGATACTTCTCACTCAAATCAATCACATGTCTTTACATTTTTTTGAAATTGACAAATCGTGAAGTTGTGAGTCAATAATATTCTTAAGCATTAGAACATTTTTAAAATCTCTTCATATAATGTCAAATATATATGCACATTATGTTCATGTGCATTCATCTTAAGAGATATAAGAGACTTTGAAATAAATTTTTAGAAGCTTGGATTTAAAATATGTTATAATTCACTATATCTTATGAGTTATGAAACTTCTCCACATGGTTCAATTGAATGAAGTGCAAAAACAATTTCCCTCCTGTAGAAGATGCAGTCTAAGGTGGATGTAAATGAAGTTGGGCCCGATTCCTCTTACTTTCCGCAACGTGTTGCTTCTCAGTCTTCTCGTTGGGGGAATCCTAAATAGATGCGAATGCAATGGCCAGAGATAGTAATTATAATCTCCACCACTGACTTAATGTCGTTAACGAGTACAAGGTTATCAGGAGAAGCAAGTTGGCCGGTGGTGTGAAATTCGGTCTTTAGAAACAGGGAGAATACCATTTTTTGGTAGACGTTTCGTACAACAACCAAAGTTTAAGTGTTCGGATTGTACCGACCACTGCATTATAGGAAAAACAGTCAAGAGGTACAAGTGCTGTATATCAAAAAACCATGGGAGGACGCAAAGAGATTAATCATAGTGAGAATGAACATGGTCAAGAACATGTTCACAACAGCTTCCGTGCATCATACGT